ATGTATGTATATATATATACATATGAGCCACACCGTTCTTGTCGCGATTCTCAGCGTTTATCATGCCGTCGCCGCGCTGTTACAACTCGTTATGCTTCTCGGCCTTCTATGCGTCTTCGCTTTAATCCAGCTGCCTCGGAAACTCGCGCGTCGCCTCAGGCCCCATGGGAGACTGTATCGGGGCCTCTGGAGTCTTTGTCGGTGCACTTGGGCTGTGCGGGGATGCCTGGTCCAGCGATGTCGGTGCCGAGATGTGCGGCGAGAGCCCGCGGGAGCCGCGCCATTCGGACTTTGAGTGGGAATTGTCCCCGGGGCCGTGAACCTGGCGAGCTGTGGGGCCGCGAAACGCGCGAGGGATATCCCGCTCAAAATGACGGAGGCGCATGCGGGTGGCGTCGTGGGTCCGCGCGCGGATTGTTTCTCCCAGGGCCAACCTTGCTCATCGTCAGCGGCGCTTCGCCGTCCCTCAGCAATTCAGGTCCTTTCTGTTTTGCCTCGGCCCAGTTCGTCTTCCTCCTCTTGCGTTCCCCTCTCCCCTGCCTCGCGCATCTGCCCCAGAGGTTCGGCAAGCGAGGTCGGTCGTTCCGTGCAGCCCCTTGTTCGCGCATCCCTGCGCGAGCCCCCGCTCCGCGCCGCCAGTTTTGACCGTTCGTGTCGCTAGCGTCGGGGGTCTCCGAAGATTTCGGGGCACTGCCAAAAGCCCCCGCAAACATTTGCGGACGGCCGAAGGGCGGTCGGGTGTTTCGGAAGCAGCGTCACACGGTATGCAATGTCGCGCACGGTTCGCAGCTCAACGGAGATAGGCGGCAACGGCGAAATCTCATATTTCGAACGGGCGCCCCCACACGACGACACCCAAGTTTTGATCAGATCTTGCCCCCGCCCAGCTGCCAGTTTCACCTGCGAGGCTATGTCGGGAGTTTTGAACACGCTCTGGGATCGTCTTAGGGAATCTGGAACGGCCGCACGCAACGGGCGATGCGCGGCGGTTTCGGTTCATAAGCGGCGCGTAAGCAGCACGCCCAGTGTATTAGCAAGCGTTTGTGCGGCCATCGGTTGGCACGGCGACCCTAGAAACACATTTCTGATACAGCGTGCGTTTGTCGCTGCGCAGTGCGCGTTGAAGCCGCTCTTGACAACGCCGCAGAGGGGATGAATGTCCGCAGCGAGTGGCGCAGTTTTGCGGGTGTGTCTTGACGCCGAGGGAGCTCGTTGACGCTTCGCTAAAACGCAGTCTGTTCGATCTGACCGTGCGATTCTTCCCTGGGCGGGAATTTCGGGAAGGCGAACTTGCGTCGACCGTTTCTGGAAGTGCAGATGTCTGCTCTCGTGTGTTCTCTTGGCTACGAACCGGAGTATATGCTACATTCGTTGCCTGGCCTTGGTATGCATTTCAGGGTGCGATTTCACGGCACCGACGATCATCCTGTATTCCCTGCGCTGTCATGACCGGCGTTATTCGAAAGCCGCGCGGCACGAATCGATCGCGGAGGAGTCGTTCCAGTCGAGAGATCAGGGGCGGGTCGGTCGCCCAGTGCTGCCCAGCGAGGACCTCGATCCACGCGCGATTGTTCTGGGTCGAGCTTGGGCAATCCACGCGCCCGTCGAGGGCTTCTCGATGCGCGGCATCACGTCGATGTTCACGGACCTCGCGCAGCGCCGAGGCTTGTGCGCTGAGCTGCTCGCAGTGTAAACAGTGAGCTTTCCATCGAGCAGCGACGAGGTCGACTCCAACGACGCCGGCGCAGCACGATTTGCCGAGGTCGACGCCCAGGCGAGCCAGCGGAAGGAGGCGTTTGGCATCCAGCCGCGAAGCATGTCCGGCGAGAGCGTTCGCGCAGGGATAGCGCGCGCGCTGTGCGGATGCTTGTGCAGACGGGTCATTCGCGCACTGGCCGTCGCGAGATCTTCTCACGCGGCGATCGACGACGTTGGCGACGACCCGCCCCAAGAACTCACGATCATACCTGGTTGCGAAGCCCGTTTGAGACAGCCCCTGGAACTTGCTGCCGATTTCCAAGAGTTGGCGTTTCGCTGGGAGCAGCAGTGGGTCGGATGACGGTCCTTGTGGTAGCCTTGCAGCGAGCTCCGCCGAAAGCCCGAGTGGTTGCGCGCGCTCTGCGGCCGCGTAGCAATGTCGGCGCGCCCCCGCGCGCCGTGGGAATAAAGTGGGTTTGAGATGCGCGCGTGGCCCGTGAGAAATCGCACCGGCGGTCTCGCGCCACCATAACATGTCAACGGTTGTGGAACGCGGGGCAATGATGAGATGGGTGAGGGGGGGTTGAGGTGGGGGGACAGAACGGATCAGCGAAGGTGATGACGAGGCAAACGACCGGGCAATTCGCCAGCGCGGACAGGGAAGATGGCGCGAGCGCGGGAGTGGGTCGCGCGCGGGTCGCGACGGGCGAGGTTGGGCGGGTCGCGGGCGACTCGCGCCGTAGGTCGCGGCAGATGGGGCGCGGGCGCGCCGCGGGCGGGGCGCGGCGCGGGCCGCTGCGGCGTCGACGAGAAGGAGAGGGGGGGGCGGCGTCGTAGTCCATAGCGCCACGCGGGGCGATGATATTAGACATCCGGGGCCACGCTTCGGCGTCTGAAGGGCCACGGCGCGAGGCCCCTGGGGCCCGATGCCCGGGGCCGCCAACTTGTGCGAAACATAATGTTACGTCGTTCGCAATGGCCCGAACGTCGCGCGCTTGATTCGCCGCGCACCATGCCGTGGATCGAACGCCACGCTGCTCGTTGCGCGGCTCAACTGCGCCAGCGATTTCCCCGCCGCTGCGTCGCGCTGCGGGCCTGCGAACTTTTAATGCATATGTCGCTCGAGGACGCGAGAGCATCGTTTGTGTAGGGTGGCGCCGTCGCCGCCTCCGACGACGCGCGCGCGGGCGCCCCTGGCTTGGGCGGCGAAAAAGAGGACCTTGCGGATGGCAGAATTGCAGTTGTCGATCGAATTGTCGATGGGGGGATTCCGCTGAGCGCGTTGGCGACGGCTCGCGCAGCCGCGGGTGCGATCGCCGCCCAGGGCGTAGAGCTGCGTCGCGCCACAGCCGCCAACGGGATGCCGAATGCCTCTGGTCTGGCTAGCCTCGCACTTAAGTCTCCGACCAGACTCTAAGAGCAGTGCGCAAGCCTCTTGAACGCACCCAGGAGAACCAGGAAGAAATCACATAGTCTACCATGGGTGAGTCATTTGTTTAATTTGACGGTCCGAACATCTTTCCCCGCAGCACTGCAGCAGCGACGTTTGGGCCCTGGGGACTTTCTATGCGTGGTATCTCATGCGGTGCACCTGGGGTTCCCTGCCCCAGCAGGTGGCCGCTTGGGGCCGTGGTCTCTGCGGTTGCGCCGCCGGGGGGGCATCCAGCGACAATTGCCCGTCCGCGGCTGCGTCGCCACGGCCTCCCGCCTGACTGGTTGAGGCAATTCCTCGCGGGAGAGCGCCGCGCGGCGCCCCCGAGATCGACCTGCGGCCGCCGCGAGTGAGGCCAGCCGCTAAGTGCCAGATGTCATGGGGATCGTTGCAGCCGCGGCGCGTGGCCCAGAGTGCAAAGGCAAAGAAGTGGCGTGTTCTTCTTGAGCCTTGGAGCGAAGGCAATCCCTAGCGCGTTGTTTTGCGCGGTGAGCCCGTGCATCAAATGATGTGCGCCCACCCTGGGTGATTTTCTACGCGCGGTGCGAGATGCGGGTCGCTATCGTCGTCATCGTCATTGTCGTTGTCGCTGTCGACGTTATCGCCGTCGTTGTGGCTCTCGTCGCCATCGTCGCCGTGGCCGTCGTCGTCCCATCATCGGACTCGGCGTCCTGGTCCTCGTCGTCAGCCTCGCCATGATGGAATAAGCTAGCCGCTCGCTGCCCGCCGGCGCATGCAA